CGGGGCGAGCGGGGGCGCCCCCGCCCCGGCCCCTGCGCCCGCTGGGGGGGATTCAGCGTGGGTCTCCCACTGTCTGTGCGCGGCTCTACCCCGGGCTGGCGCCCCTGCGCCCTGGCCGGGTGTCCTGCCCGCTTGCTTCCCCGAGGTGGCTCTGAGCCTTCCAGCCTGTGAGCTGCCCCACCCGCTGCCCGCAGTTCTTACAGCTGCCTGCCCCTGCTGCACGAGAAGCCCTGCGTGTACGTCTGGAGCTCCTGGGAAGATCACACTTGGCGGCTCTACAATTCCAACTGGATTGTCAAGCTGGCGGAACGCCTGGTAACGTAGGCTCCCCCGGGGCTCGGGTGTCTTGGCCACAGGCTCCTCCTCGGGGATTCTGGGGGGGGGGACGCAGGAGCTGACCCCACACGTGTCTCCCAGGACCGCGGGCTGGACGACGTGGAGATGCTCCTGAGGAGGCCCAAGTCCAAAGCAGAAGACAGACTCAAGCAGGTGCTGGAGGAGCTTGTCGCTGGCTGCCGGTCAGTGAGTCCCTGCTCTTGGGCCCTTCTGAAATGGGTTTGGCTCAGTGTTGCCACAGCCCCCGCCCTCCCCGGGGAAGGGGAAGGCCCATCACTAGTCCCGTGGGCGTCTGAGGGCTGCGGCGTGGCCTGGTCCCCGCACAGGCTGCAGGGCGACGCGCAGAACCCACCTGCCCATCGCGGGAAGGCGCTCGGGGCTGAGCTGGGCGGCCGGCCTGCGATTGGAGCCCCTCCTGCGGGGGGGACTCCTCTTCAACCCTCCCCCGCCCGACGGGGACGTGACCCTGGCTCTCTCCGCCCAGGCAGTATTCGCTGAACGCGGAGAAGAAAGCCATGCCCCGTCCCAACACCCTGGACAGATGCCGGCAGAAATCACTGGCCCACAACATTGTAAGTGGGGTGGGGCCTGTCGGGCTGAGAGGGGGGACTGGGTGGGCGCTGCCCCGGAGAGCAGCTTGGGGCGCAGCACGGAGCCCTGGCTGGAGCCTCGCACCAATGTGCTGCCTCGGCACCCCCGAGCCGCCCTGGAAACGCAGCCCCCGAACCCGCGCTGCTTTTCACTGTGCTGCCCGTCAGCCAGGGGCATGCGGGGCTGGGCTCAGGGTGGGGTGTGATGGGGCCGTGTGGGGCTGGGCTCCGGGCGGGGTGTGACGGG